ATTCACATTCATGAATTGTGAGCTGTATTTAATATTTATGCAAAAAGGACATGAGGTATATTTCAATGAGTAAGTTCTACAAAAAAAAAAAGTGGGAATTGAAAAATTACTCACTACTTGAGGGCTCTGGTTATAGTGCCTTGTAAAGGTGCCAACAGGCAGAATATGATTTAAGATGCACATTTTGCAAATCAGCACCTTCATAATAATACTTGGGCATTCACCCAAGAGCTCTGAAAGAACTCAAATATGAAGTTGCGGAACTGTTAACTAAGGTTTGTAACCTGTCCTTTAAATCAGCTTCTGTACCCAGTGACTGGAAGTTAGCTAATGTAACACCAATATTTAAAAAGGGCTCTAGAGGTGATCCCGGCAATTACAGACCGGTAAGTCTAACGTCGGTACCGGGCAAATTAGTCGAAACAACAGTTAAGAATAAAATTGTCAGACACATAGAAAAACATAAACTGTTGAGCAATAGTCAACATGGTTTCTGTAAAGGGAAATCGTGTCTTACTAATCTATTAGAATTCTTTGAAGGGGTCAACAAACATATGGACAAGGGGGATCCAGTGAACATAATGTACTTAAATTTCCAGAAAGCCTTTGACAAGGTCCCTCACCAAAGGCTCTTATGTAAATTAAGCTGCCATGGGATAAAAGGGAAGGTCCTTTCATGGATCGAGAACTGGTTAAAAGACAAGGAACAAAGGGTAGGAATTAATGGTAAATTCTCAGAATGGAGAGGGGTAACTAGTGGTGTTCCCCAAGGGTCAGTCCTCAGACTGATCCTATTCAACTTATTCATAAATGATCTGGAGAAGGGGGTAAACAGTGAGGTGGCAAAGTTTGCAGATGATACTAAACTGCTCAAGATAGTTAAGACCAAAGCAGACTGTGAAGAACTTCAAAAAGATCTCACAAAACTAAGTGATTGGGCAACAAAATGGCAAATGAAATTTAATGTGGATAAATGTAAAGTAATGCACATTAGAAAAAATAACCCCAACTATACATACACTATGATGGGGGCTAATTTAGCTACAAGAAGTCAGGAAAAAGATCTTGGAGTCATCGTGGATAGTTCTCTGAAAATATCCACGCAGTGTGCAGAGGCGGTCAAAAAAGCAAACAGGATGTTAGGAATCATTAAAAAGGGGATAGAGAATAAGACTGAGAATATATTATTGCCCTTATATAAATCGATGGTATGCCCACATCTCGAATACTGCGTACAGATGTGGTCTCCTCATCTCAAAAAAGATATACTGGCACTAGAAAAGGTTCAGAAAAGGGCAACTAAAATGATTAAGGGTTTGGAACGGGTCCCATATGAGGAGAGATTAAAGAGGCTAGGACTGTTCAGCTTGGAAAAGAGGAGACTAAGGGGGGATATGATAGAGGTATATAAAATCATGAGTGATGTGGAGAAAGTGGATAAGGAAAAGTTATTTACTTATTCCCATAATACAAGAACTAGGGGTCACCAAATGAAATTAATAGGCAGCAGGTTTAAAACAAATAAAAGGAAGAAGTTCTTCACGCAGTGCACAGTCAACTTGTGGAACTCCTTACCTGAGGAGGTTGTGAAGGCTAGAACTATAACAGATAAATTCATGGTGGTTAAGTCCATTAATAGCTATTAGCCAGGCTGGGTAAGGAAAGGTGTCCCTAGCCTCTGTTTGTCAGAGGATGGAGATGGATGGCAGGAGAGAGATCACTTGATCATTGCCTGTTAGGTTCACTCCCTCTGGGGCACCTGGCATTGGCCACTGTCGGTAGACAGGATACTGGGCTAGATGGACCTTTGGTCTGACCCGGTACGGCCGTTCTTATGTTCTTATGACCTGTAAGTGGGGGGAGAGAAGCCAGTGCTGAGGCTAATGTCTTCCCTTGCCTTTGCCTAGTGAGGAAACTCCTAGAGAACATCCAAGTGTGACAGAACAAGGCCTCCGTTCCTTAGCCTCCTTGTTGTGACTGCTGCTTGAATGCTGCACACTCAGAAATGTGTCTTAAAGGACTGAAACCAGGCACTGCAAGGCATTCTTTTTGCTTATTGGCTTGAAATGCTGAGTGTTAATTGAGAAACATTGAAACCAAGTTATCACGGTTCTGTTTAGCTGTCTGTTGTGTTGATGAAAGATACAAAAAACGTAAAATGAACTGGGAGTGGTTATGGGAATACTTTAATATATAAAAAAATGATTTAATTGTCTTTGTAGCTTGCAAAACTGTACTTAAGGTGCCCAGTCTAAGGTAAAAAATGTTTTGTATCTGTTAAGATTGTCCTATTCTTATATGCAGTTCTTGTCTGCTGTAATATAGCAGTTTTAGTTCTTGAGGCCATTGTGATTCCAGATTTCTAGTCCCTTGGGTACGTCTGTTCTGAGTATCTGGGAGAGACAGAGACTCTGATTTTCCAAAGGGCAATTAAAAGGCATTTTCTTGTCACCGGGCTTTGGCTCAATAGTACACCTTAAGTTTGACAAGCAAGCCAGCTTCCACATGGAGGATTCGCTGAACATGGCTTAGATTTCATGGTCCTTGACACAAAAGCATTGGAATCTGCATGGTTTTATACAGTGGATGCATGTTTTTTATGGTGGGTGGCTTTGTTAAAGTCATGGTTACTTCTACTTCTCTCATCAAGTCGTTGAATAAGAATGGTCTTGTAGCATTGATTTTTACTGAAGTTATGCTCCAAGGTGGGGTGAAATGCTCTGGGATTTTCATGTTTGTAACATTGCGTTACAATGTTGTGCTACAATGTAACATTGTGTTAGGACTGAGCTGTAGTTGTGATGTAGCACCCAAGGTTATAATAGGATCACCCAGAAGGAAAGTGAAAGCTGCTGCTCCTTTAGGTGTCTTTGGTTCCCATTTAACATTGCTGCATGAACATCAGGTTGCAGGTATCCAGTGTGGGGTTTTGGGTGCATGGTTTCTGTTGGAATGTGTTTGTCAGAAAATATGTGCTCTGTGGTGCAATCTGCTCAGTGTTCTGAGTTGTGGATGTCAGACTATGACATATAATTTTAATATAAAAATCTTGAATAAATTTAATAATAAGGTCCTTAGCATATATGGCACATTCAGTAAGCCTGAAGTGCATGGACTCTGGAGTAACCTGGGAGCTGATGTTAATAGCTAAAAGTTAGGTAGCCAGCTCCATCAAACACTCCAGTGTTCTAGTAGATTAGAACTTTGACATGACATAGTTCAAAAAGTTTGTCTGAGTTAGTGGTGAATATCGTTAACTGGTGCTGGCTGATAGTGCAGGCATTAGTTTGTTTTCCCATAATTCATCAGGCTTATTTAACCTATTTTGGCATGTCCTGTCCACTAGCTGACAGTTAAAGTGACTATATCTTAATTTAGCATTCTTCTAGTGTAGTCCTTCATATGTGCAAAGGAGGAGAGAGCTCATTTTGAGACCCAGTAGCATTTCTAACCTTGCAGACCTGTTTATGTTAATGAGCTATTGTGATGGAGAAACCTACATCGTTTAAAGTGACGTTATTACTGAAATTGTATATAGCTTCATTATATTTAGACTGAACTATTGCCACAATCCAGCTATTTTTCTGACCTTTATCGGGAGGCATATTTTTTCCTGCAAAAGCTTTCGTATCTTAGATCACCTTTTTTACATTCTCATCTGTCTACACAGTTACTATAGTATTATACTTGGTCCCTACCCTGCCGTATGTGCAGTACTTAGCCATTTCCCTCTTCCTTTTATGCAAAATGTCTTTGGTATGTTGCTACACAATTTTCAACATGAAAGGTGTTAAAAATGGCACTTCCAGTGTGTTATATCGGTATGTAGAGAATACATGATGGGATAGTGAAGTATAAAGATTTTATCCTGAGTTTTAGGATATCTGCATTACTGTCTGCATTGCACACAAGTGGCAATCCTAAGAGCAGTACAACCTTGCAAAAGTAATGGGTGGAGGGAGAGAAGACAGTTTGTTCTCTCCTTTTCCTGTATCTGCTGTGCCTCTATGTTCAGTTCTGCTGAAACCTCACCGCTGTTCCCCATTCTTCCTAACCTGGAGGCAGCAGTAGCTGTCCAGTTGAGTGTTGTGTTTGGGAGGGGAAAACTCTCCTTTCTTGGCCAGGATCTTCCTGGGTATCAGCACACCTTGCCCCCACTGGGCATCCCTTCACTCCTCCTGCTATCTCCACTCAGTGCCCAGCAATCCCCTGCCCCAAACCAGCTATGGGTCCTTGCTGTGGTCTCAATCCATCAATCCTTTTGTGTCTGCAAAGCATTTTGGTGGGTCCAGCAAGAAATGGCAGGAGGATTTTAGCTCTGAGGTGAAAAATGATTGAGACTCACTGTTTTAGATGTTACGGTTATTTTACTGGGGCTATTTTTGGATCTATCCACTAGTAAAGAGAAGTGCCTTTATACCAAGAGTCCAACTATAACAGAGCTCAGAAGGGAGGAAAAATAATTTTAAAAACATTTAAACAATTACCTAAAATAGCTGTCCTGCACAGATACTTTGGGCCTTTCAAGGCTAGAACCAATATCTAGCCCTGAAAGGTTGCAGAAATATCTGACCGTAAATGTGTCAATAGTGCAAGACTGAATATTGTCAATTCTGAGCCTCAGGGTGGGAAATTGTGAATAGGGAAACGAAAACAACGTTGGGGTAGGCTGATTTAAAATCAGTAAATAAAAGCAGCTGTTTGAAGTTGTTGAGGTATTTGGAATGCCAGTAGCAGTTCCTGGGTCAAATAGAGCAGTGTTAAGGTGTGCACAGGACAGGTGAAGTGGTCAAACAGTGGAGAGAAGAAAAGTAGCAGAAATGTTTTGCCATTCGGTTGTTTAGTAAGCGTTATACGTAATGCATACTGTTTCCTGTGTATTGAAGTGTTTATGCTTCTATGCATCTCAAGTATGCATGTGCACATAATTAACTGTTAACTTATTTTTGGTATCACCAGGCCCGGTACAAGCAGAGCCTCGATCCTACGGTGGATGAAGTTAAGAAACTATGTACATCGCTGCGTCGAAATGCAAAGGAAGAGAGAGTCCTCTTTCACTATAATGGGCATGGTGTTCCCAGGCCAACAGTGAACGGGGAGATCTGGGTCTTCAACAAGGTGCGTCAGCTAGAAGCGTGGTTAAAAAGGAGCACGCACATTAAAATCTGTTACTATTCGTTGGACAGAAGATTAATTTTCAGGAATTAAAATGACTTCATGAATGTTTGATTCCAGAGCTGACATTTATTCTCTTTCCTTATCCATTCTGAGTTCTTTTGTCAGAAGAGACATCTTGTCCCTCTGCCCGAGAAGTGCTAAACACTTGCTCTCCCAGAGCCTTTGTTAATGCTGCTCTTAAAATAGTCAGAGGGGACACTACAGAGTAATTAAAGGTGCCAACTATCTCCAAGTCTCTCTACCTTCTCTGTCAAGTTGCACACCTAGCTCCTGCCAGATTTGGAGCAAAAGATGTAGCTCTTCTCAGATGCTTGGCTTCCCTGCCTTGTGTCATTGGCTTAGTTGTTAGCCTCTTAAAATAGAGTTTATGTTGAGAGTGCCAACTAATCCTGAATAGCTATTGTTCATGCTATGGCAGTACAACGCATGAGAGACAATAAAATATTCTTAGTTCCCAGTTTTAAAGTACAGAGTATTATGGTACAAGTGAGTACAGTATAGTAGGCAACTCTTGCATTAAGGCCTTTGTCACTTTTACTGAGGACAGCAAGACTGGCACGATTGAGTATTTGTACAGCTGCTGGTATCACATATTAATACAGAAACTGCTACTCTGTTACATTGGGACTCATAATTATGGCTAATTAAGTTGAATGTACTTTGCCTCCCTTATAATTCATGCATATAGCACCTATGAAAGGTAAATGATGGAGAACATGGTTTTATTCCCCAGTTTATTTACTGTCTCGGTACAGTTGCAATAGAGACTTACTGTCAGTAGCTGAAAGTTGCATCCAGTGGAGGGAGAACTTGCTCCCATTTTTATATAACTTGGTTCTGTTTTAGTTTTTGATTTGTATTGTGCCAAGAACAACATTGCACCCATCTCACATCTTGGTTTTTTTGCAGTTGGAAAAGAATCCAGCACTGATCAGAGAGAATTGGGGCAGGAGGGGAGTATAATTTTATTCCAATGCATCTAAATTGGAGACTTGATTAGCATTCAGCCCACCCTTTTAAACAACTCATTTGAAAGCTGAATTTGGTGTAAGAACAAATAGCAGTGACCTTCTTCTTACTTAATGGGCAATAGGTAATAAATAAGATAAATGATGCTGGGCAGAATGTGTTACACATGCAAGAGGAGCAAATTATTGCTCAGTGAAGTTTGTGTTACGCCAAATGCATTTTTAAGAACTGACTGGGTATTTGCCAATTTGCTTGCTATCTCAGCTGGTGTCATCTGATAAGGACTCTACTGGTGAATAGGAGGAGGGGGCCCCTTCTGATTTATGGTCCAGTCTAGGGAGAAAGATTTGATCTGCATAAAGGAGGTTGAAATTTAATAGCCTTTTTGCAATATGTTAACAAACGTTGTCTCCCTTTTGGAAGGGAAGGCAGCAAAGTGACTCTTCCCACTCCCTTATTCAAAGGAAGATTTTGGAAAAATATGATAAAAATAGGGAAAACCAGTATTTTTGAGAGACCATTTGTAAGGATGTGAGTTTTAGGACCGGGTAGAAGCTAGTGAGGCTCAGCATGTTCCTCCCCCCTTCCTGGCATGGTTGAAATAGCAGATGGGCTGAAATATACTATTGATCTTTGAAAATCACACTAACATATGTATCCACGTCTCTGAGGTCTGAAATGGGCCTATAATAGGAAGATCCTCTTGACCGGGAAGCTCTTAAAATGCATGTTGTAATAATGCTAATATATCATTTTAAGCGCTCTATGAAAATTACCCATAAAACTGCTATATAACTGCAGAGAGGTGGTACGGTTACTTGTGGAATACTGCTGAGTAGCCAAAGATAGAAGAAAACTATAATTTGGAGACTCCGTCCAAACATTTGGGTATGCCAACGCTTTTGGACCATATTTATTCACACTTTAATCCTTTCCTCTCATTTTCCTCCCATAAAACTAATCTGCTGCCATTGTAAGTGCAGTGGCGTAGACTGAGGACAAAGTACCTTACCAGTAAGTGACCTGTAGACAGACTTGCCAAACATCTCACATCTCCTGGGACACTGGCTGCCCTTTGCATATTCCTGCAGCCCTGAGTGTCACATGGGACAGCAGGAATGCAGGCAAGCTGGATTGCAGGGGTGGCTGCAGTTGTAGCTCACGGCTGCCAGAGGTTGCTGTGGTGCACCTTGTGTAGGCAAATGAGCGGCCTCCGTCTTTCCATGTTCCTGCTGGATCAGTATGGAGAAAGAGCAGGTGGTAACAGCAGGCAAATGGTGGCAGCAGCAAGTGAGGAAGACAGGTGAGAGGGATTCAGTACTGGTCTCTGGTTTTTCTCCCAGCAATCAGCCAGCCCCAGACGTCCCAGACGCTCATATATACCTACCAACTCAAGCCCTGGACAGGTTTCAGATGCACCCCTCCCCAAGCTCCCATAAAATCCTAACCCAGGCACCCCATCTTCCTCTGACACCCACAAACCTAGCTATCCCCAGACTTTTATTCCCACATTTCCCCCAGCTACTGAACCTTGCCCGATCTTGCTTTTCTTGGCTACCCCCAGCCTCCCAAATGGCCCTACAAATACACCTTGCCATGCCCCCAATTGGCATCACCCATCTACTCCCCTGACACTCTTCCGCCACCCGCCCACCTGCCAGAGCTGTCAAACTTGTGTCCTACCTCTGCTGCTGCTTACGGCAGGGTGTATTGACCTTAAGTTGAAATGTATGGGTGTATACATGTTATTTGAAAATATACATTACATAATGTGATAATTTGCACATTTGTAAACTTGCATAAAATGTCTCATATGGAGCTGCACAAAACTTGGCAGTTGTGTGTAGAATATATTATTTCTGTTCCCAAGGCCAGGTCTCCAGCATGCCAGTGCTCATCACTGCTACCGAGCCTAATTATCGTTTTAAACTATTAAAGGACTGCACATATAAAGGAAGGGCCAGAACAGCCATTTTGAGCAGTGGCTCCCAACCTTTCCAGGCTACTGTACCCCTTTCAGGAGTCTGATTTATCTTGCATATGCCAGGTTTCATCTCACTTAAAAACTACTTGCTTACAAAATCAGACATAAAAATACAAAATTGTCACAGCACACTAGTACTGACAAATTGCTGACTTTCTCATTTTTGCCATCTAATTATAAAATAAATCAATTGAAATATAAATATTGTACTTACATTTCAGCACATAGTATTTATAGCAGTCATTTAGACAAGTCGTATGAAATTTTAGTTTGTACTGACTTCGCTAGTGCTTTTTACGTAGCCTGTTGTAAAACTAGGCAAATATCTAGATGAGTTGATGTACCCCCTGGAAGACCCCTGCATACCACTGGTTGGAACCATTGACTTAGGGTATGTCTAAACTGCAGCGTAAACCTGGGATCAGACTAAGGTTTGAGCCCAAAATCTCTTTCTGTCTATACACAAATCTCTCAGACTCGGGCTTGGACCTAGGGTCCTAGGACCCAATGGGGCTGGAGGATCCGAGCCCCAGTCAAGCTGTGACCAAGGGTTCAAGTCCTATTGCTTTGCAGTGTAGACACAGCCTCCGCCTCCCCCTCCCCCCGACTTGGGTCCTGGAAGTCCACCAGAAGTATCCCACAATCCCATGGGCCAACTTCCTTTGTCCTTTCTATCCCAAGAATCTCCAGTCGACTCCAGTGAAAACAGGAGCAACTCCCCTTGGTGTACAGCAGCAGCTCAGTGAGTCAACGTTAACCCTTCCTTTGTCTTCTGACCACTCAGCTGCAAATGCACCATCAGAGAGCCTTCTGTGTTTGCAGTGAAGACTGAACAGCATGTTGCTTCACGGTCGTGGGAGCACAGCCAGATTTTGGTAAATCTCTGGTGCAAGGCCAGCAAAACTGTGGACTTTAGTGAGAGTACTAGGAATGACTACGCATATGCAAATAGTGAAGAAGCTGGCAGCTTTGCACATTTACCAGACTGGTGGCCAGTGCAGGGAGCAGATGGAGCAGCTCAAAAGTGAGTATCGGAAAACCAGGGACCAGAACCACTCCTCACGCAACTTGCCGACGACATGTCAGTTTTATGAGGAGTTTGACCAGCTGCTGGGCACAATGGTGGCGGCGGCGATGACGACCTGGTCAGCTGGTCCCCTGCTGGCCTCAGAATCCAGCATGGGGACTGATGGGAGCCAGCAGCAGACACCAAGGGAGGACAGTGGACTCACTCTGTTGCTGGAACCAGTCCCAAAGCAGGTTTGGAGCAGGAGCAGCAGCAGCACATTCTGGGCCTACACTTGAAGGAGCCATTTGATGTTCCCCAGAGAAACCGCCTGCTGCAGAGCTGATAGAAGCCACCCCCGAGCCTGGTAAGTTTCTGGCTCCATGTCAATGTTTGTTAATACAGTAATGGGAGGGATTTCTACTTTATGAATCAAAGCAAAGCTTATGAGAAGCCCTTGCTAGCAATGTGTATAAGCTAATGGCGCATTGTACGTCAGTGGCTTGGCATCCCCTTCCCTCTCTCTCCCTACCATGTGGAGTTCAAAGTGACGATTGGGAAATGCAAACGGTAAAGAACATCTTTAATGTGTATTGTTACTGGAAAGGCATAGATTTTTTGGTAGGGTCATTCCTGTTTCTTAAAGCCAATAACCTTCCATTGCCATGCCTGTAAGTATACCATTCTGTAACCAATCACCGGTCTGTCAAGCCATCTGGAAACGGTGTGGGGCAGGAGGAAATGTGTTCAGTTTTACAAATCTGGTCCATTTCAGTTACAGGTAGTCCATGCAGTCCACAGGTGACAAAATCATTTGTCCCAAATATGACTGAGGTTGGAAACTTTGTCCAGAAATGTGCTGGGGGGAGGAAGGCTACGGAGTCCTGTGTGTTTGCATGCAGCCATGACAGGATAAGCCATGTGGAAGCTAATGCAGCATCCTGTTGATTTTTCTCATGAATTCTGACCCAATCCTGGATG